ATATTTCTACTTATAATCTGTTTTAAAGATAAGTAAAAATAACCCTTCTCCTTCGGTATCCTATGCAGTCAGCCATGGAAGAATCACCAAGTTCAAAAACTGAACCCCTTTTCTCTATTCCAGTAGATATAAATCACAAAGCCACAGAATTCAATCTATTTTCAATTTCTTCTCCTCACATGAAAGCTTTTCATCTTGCATGGTTTTCACTTTTTTCATGCTTCTTCTCAACTTTTTCTATCCCTCCACTCCTTCCCATAATCCGGGAAGACCTGCATCTCTCCCAATCCGATGTCGGAAAAGCTGCTGTGGCATCTTTTGTGGGGTCCATCTTCTCTCGACTCGCAATGGGCCCCGTTTGTGACCTTGTTGGCCCGCGTATCGCCTCCTCTACCCTCTCCCTCATCACTGCACCAATAGTATTGTCCACTGCCTTCATTTCATCACCACTATCATTCATTCTCATTCGATTTCTCATTGGTTTTTGTTTAGCAAATTTTGTTGCAAATCAGTTCTGGATGAGCTCCATGTTTTCGGGTCGGGTTGTCGGAATCGCCAACGGGTTTGCTGCTGGCTGGGCTAATGTTGGGTCAGGAGTCACACAAATTTTTATGCCATTAATATATTCTTTCTTCATTAACACCCTAAATTTGCCTTCTTCTACTGCATGGCGTGTTGCGTTTATTTTACCAGCAACTTTCCAGGCAGTAACTGCAGTAATGGTTCTCGCATTTGGCCAGGATTTACCAGATGGCAACTACAAACGTGTGAAGAAAAGCACGGATTCGACTGATAAGAACAACGCTTTTGGCATTCTCTTTGATGGATTAAAGAATTACAGAGGGTGGATTCTCGGAATAACATACGGGTTTTGCTTTGGAGTTGAATTAACAACTGATAACATCATTGCACAGTACTTTTACGACAGGTTTAGTTTGGATATTGAGACCGCCGGTGTAATCGCAGCCAGTTTCGGTTTCGCGAATATCGTGTCTCGACCAGCAGGAGGGATGATTTCCGACGAGATGGGGCGGAGATTTGGGATGAGAGGGCGGTTGTGGAGTTTGTGGGTGGTGCAAACGGTGGCGGGGTTGCTGTGTTATTTGCTTGGTCGAGTCAACTCACTTTGGGGATCAGTTTTGGTAATGTGTTGCTTCTCCTTGTTTGTACAAGCTGCTTCTGGCCTCACATTTGGTGTGGTCCCTTTTGTCTCCAAAAGGTATGTCAAGTTGGTTCTCCTAAATATTGTTCAATGTGTAATAATATCCATGTCATATATTTAATTTAAAGTCCTCAACTTTTGCAAAAAGAGCAAATGAATCCTCAATTTTCAGTCTATCCTCAACCTTCAATAAATGTATCATCGAAGGATAGATGAGACTGGAAGAGAAAGGAGTAGACTGCTTTTTCTTTTCCTTTTTCTTTTCCTTCTATTTCGTTAATTTTTTAAAACATAGTATTACCCATTTTACCCTTAAAAACACTTGTTTAAACATTCACCGTTAATTTGGACGAATTTCAAACTTTCACTCCTACCCTTTTTAAAGATTGAAGATGACTGTCGAGGTTTGGAAATCTATTTGCACTTTGCATATAGGTTGAAATTTCACGTTAACGTCTTTGTACCTAGACTCAATTATATCAACCATTGAAGCATATATATAGAGCTTTCTCAATCAATTCAACTAACTTACGGATTGAATGTCTAACCTTCCTCAACCTAGATGAACGTAACTAGAACTCCATACACCAGAGCACCAAAATATTACACCATATTTGAAGTAATTTTCAGCTTGTTCGAGCGAGACAAAACAAGAAACATTACGTAGCATAACTGTAATTTTTTGGAATTGCAGGTCTCTTGGTGTAATATCGGGCATGACAGGGAGTGGGGGGACATTGGGTGCAGTGGTGACCCAGCTGCTGCTATTATTATATTCAGGCAGCACCTCTAATTATCATAAGATTTCAACTGAGAAAGGCATATCCATAATGGGATTGATGATGCTGTTTTTCACTCTTTTAATCACCCTAATTTATTTCCCCAACTCTGGTGGAATGTTTTGTGGACCTTCAAAACAAACTGATTATCACTTGCTTGCATAAAATTTTCTTGATAAAAAGAAATAAAGTTTAGGACAGATAATTTTATTCCATTCGAGTAGGAAATATCGTATTAATCAATTTTAAATTTGATGTAAAACAAATGGCTGAATGGATTGAAAAAATTTTGGACAAAAAAGAAGAAATTGGCAAAAGCAGTCGAGCTCCTATTTGGGCACATAATACTATTTCAGAGCGAGTACAACGAGACGAGTATAACTCATCGCTATGCCATGGCATGTGATAGATTTTGGCTATCCTAATTCGTTTAAAACTCGAATATTGCTTTTTAAATTTTAGTGTGTTATTTTTGTCATTTAGTTTATTTCGAATTCTTTGCAATTTTAGTTTGTTTTAATTAAATTTTCATGTAAATTCTTATAAATTAAGAGTTAATTCATTGTTTTTTTAATCATCTTTTAATTAATAAAATTTGTGAGTTTACTTTTTCATAATTTGATGGATTCCAAATTTCTTGTTTTTAAGATTTTCGTTTGAATTCTTTGTTTCAAGCTGCGTCAAAATTGTTGTTTCACTA